TGCCGAATCCCCTGCACACACGACGGGCAGCCGTGCTGGACGCCACCGGACGACCTCGCGCTGCTCCACAGCTGCCAACTGGCGGTAGCTGAGGCGGCGACCAGGCGAGTTACGAAGAAGACCGGGGCGGTCGGCCGCTCGGTGATCTTGATTGTGTCGCCGACGGCGAGCGACATCGCGGAGGTGCTGGCGGGTAGTTTACAGGACGTGGTCGTGTACAGCCACGATGCGCGTTGGGTGGAGAGTTTGGAGGAGCAGGGCGTGCGTGCCTGCCGCGTGGACGTGAGTTTGTCGTTCGAAGACGTGCAGGAGACGCTGGTTGCGGATTTTGGCTGCGACTTGTGGCCCGGGACGGTGGTTGTGTTGGCGCTGCACGGACTGCATGGGCTCGCCGTTCAGGGCCTCGATGCCCGGGGCCTTGGCAGGGTTGCGGGTGCGCTGGTCGAAGCGGGACTTTCGTTCGAGGGAATTCGCAAGATTGTGGTGCTCGAAGAAGCACCGGGAAACCTTGTGGGGGGACAAAGCGGTGTGTTAGGGGACGCGGCAGCGATGTTCAGGCCCGACGTGGAATGCGTCGAGTGCGGGTATGTAGTGGATGACCGCACACTCTCTCCTCTATTCTCTCTTTTGTTGCAGATCGGTCTTCAGCATAAAATAGTTCCTCAAGAATTCGGTGTGCCTGCCAGTGCTTGTGCCGGAGTCTCGGATCACTTGATGAGGCTCATACAACATGGAGGCAGTGACCCAGGCTCAGGAAGTACCCCGTCGGGTACAGGTACTCTTGCGGGTATAACTGCGTTGCCGTTGGCTCTATATACCACGGACATGTTGTACCGGGACATGCGGTGCGTGGTTCCGGACTTGCAGGTTGCGGATTTTATGACCCGACGTTCGACCAGTGACCCGGTGCTGAGTCTGCTCAAGTTCCAGTGTCGGTTGTGGCACATGCGTTATCGGCGAGGCAGCCAGGTCTCGTCGCGCGCTACTTTGAATTTGCGAGCCCCGGCCTGTGCCCCGACCCAACTGGCGAGCGTGGCGAGTGCCTTGGGCATTCCGGCCATGAGGACGCGAGACGTGTTCGCCGGACTCAGCGCAGACCTTGAGAGTTACGTGGCCGCGGTTCAGGACGCCTGGGGCCTCTCGGTCGCCCCTCTGCCGGCCCGGGTCGTGAAGCTGGTCGGCTGGTACGTCACGCGCCACGGCGAGCTGTCTATGAACGGCGCCCTCATGCTCAAGGCCACCGTGGACCAGATAATCACCACCTGGTCCTGGCTGCTGAGTGCCGAACAAGGCGGAGACCTGCCCGAGTTGGTCTTTTTAGCCTCCACTCAACGCGAATTCTTCCTCACGACCAGCGACAAGACCATCGAAGGGACTAAGAGGCGGGTGACCGCGGCGCTGACGTTCGAGGAGCAGGTGTTGGGAGTGGTGCCGCCGGCGGCGTTCCGACGGCGCGCCGAGGACGGGTTGCGGATTCTGCGCGAGATCCTGCCGGCGGCGCTGATCAAGTATTACCCGGCGCGTGCGAGTGATCCGTGGGAGGACACGATTGTGTTGGAGTCCCTGGGATTGAGCGAAAGCCTCGGCATGAAGTTTGGCTGGGGCACGCGTTGGGTTCGTGCGGCCATGGTCGAGTGTGAGGGCTACAAGTACTACGCCCGCGTTGTAGCCGCCCTGCTGCGGCGGCGCTCCTATTTCAACGACCGTCCAGCGCAAGAGAACCGGCCGCCGGTGGCTACGGCCCTGGTGCCACCCGTGCTGTACTGCGTCTCGCCGTTCCACGGAGTTCACGCCGACAAGGCGCTGCCGGAGCAGCTGCACGACGTGAAGTACCAGCTCGAGCTCCATCCACCCGTCGAAACGAGCAAGGCGATGTGGCGCGAAACGGCCACAGCCTTCCAGAGGTACAGCCGACGCAACGGTCGAGTCAATGCGGCGGCGGTGGACGAACTCATCGCCGTCCTCTTCGGCGAGTCCTCCTGAGCCAATCCCCCCCCTTTCCGGATGTGAGTGAGCCCCCCAAAGTTGTAAGTGAGGTTGTCCAGGAACTGGGGTGCAGTGTGTCCCGACCGGAATGCAGTCTTCTGTCCTCGGGTCGTACCGACGCAGGTCTAGAGGTCTCGGAACGGGCTTGTTCCTGCTCAGTTGCGGTTTGGTGCTGAGCGAGCTGCTGGTTTCCGTCTTCGTCTCCATCGCGTCTTTCGATGTCTTTACGCGCGTTGGGGCTGCGCCTCAACGGATGCTACTGGCGGTGCCCAGCACGACGAGCGGAGCACTACCGCTGATGCCGGCACAGCCGTTTGCCGAACCCGCATCGCCCCCTGCCCAGGTTCAGCCTCAAGCCGGCGTCCCGCAAACAGGTGCAGGCGTCCAGGCGACTCAGCCAGCAGTGGCGACTCAGCCAGCAGTGGCGACTCAGCCAGCAGTGGCGGCTCAGCCGATGGTTGCTCAGCCGATGGTTGCTCAGCCAGTGGTTGCTCAGCCGGTGGTTGGTCAGCCGGTGATGGTTCCGGCGCAAGCCGTCGTGGTTCCGGCGGGCACTCATGATACGGAGTTGGCGCTGGGGAGCGTCCGGGTTGGTGGGACGGGTTTCAAGGCGGAGCATGGGTGCCACTTGTTGGGCGGTCGGGAGGGGAGCGAGTTCTTGCAATGCCGCGTGTTTTTCTCGATGTTTCAGTGGAGTTATGGCGAGTTCCAGCGCGCGAATTGCGAAGAGGACCAGGTGTGCGAAGGAGCGGAGAAGCAGTTGGTGCGAACGGCAGATCGGTACCGCATGCTATTGGGCGCGGCGGGGGTGTGCTTGGTGGTGGCGGTGGCATTGTTTTTCGGGAGTGGGAATAGTCTGACAGGTTCCGCCAAGTATTCCCAGTTGGCGTGTCTGAGCGGTGGGTTGTCTATCGCGTGTGCACTCGGTTCTTTGTACGTCTCACGGACGTTACGGAAACAGGCACTCGGGGTGGTCACGCGGTACGCAACGAAACTCATTGCAGGAACGCCCAAAGTGGTTGCGAAAAAAGCCGCGTTACGACGTCTCTGGATGCTCAGCTGCTCTGGGCTGGGACTCGCAGGTTTCACCGCTCTCATGGGCGGTGTGACCAAAGACGAAGACATCTCCCTGCACCCCGAACACCTCGACGCAGAAGAAACTGCCACTCCTCACTCCTAAAAATGAACCCGACGAAACATCGACCGAAACCTTAACTAAAATGAATGCTCCAACCAAAACTAAACCCTTCCCTCGAGACAGGCGGGTCAACCTGCTGAGAGCTAGCTAGATGACGAATCAATTAGACGGCGAGTTGGGACCTCAGACGGCGAGCTGGGACGTTAGACGGCGAGCTGGGACCTTAGACGGCGAGCTGGGACCTCAGACGGCGAGCGGGACCTTAGACGGCGAGCTGGGACCTCAGACGGCGAGCGGGACCTTAGACGGCGAGCTGGGACCTCAAACGGCGAGCGGGACCTTAGATGGGGAGCTGGGCCGTGCGTGCCTCGAAGAATGTGTGCGATTATTGTCTCCAAACGTTAATTGTTTTTAACACTTGAGTCGAAAATAATTTGGTGAAAAATTTGGTAACAGAAAGTGCTTCAAAGAATGGGTGTCCGTTGCAAGGCTACGGTATAAAGTTACTATGTTAGTTCTGCCTTTGAGGTTGCTGAGGCGACGGAGGAATGAGTTATCATTCTCGGTTGATTTCGCCCCCAGCAGTTACCCGTTAGGCAAGAGTACTAATGATTCGTAGCTGACAACATACCGAGCGTTCTGCGAGGTGGCTGTAGTAAGACGATGAATGCCGCTAGCTCCTTAAGGCACTCTCCTGAGCTTGTTCTAGTCATCTAGACAAGCACGACCGGTTGCCGCCGTGGAACCAGGAAAGCACTGAGTCATAACTAGCGCACACTACCCTGCAATAACACTAGTATTTTATATGTCACCAGGGTGGTCCCGGTTGCTAATCACATGCCACGCACATAGGCCCGGAGTTGGGGCCCGCTGGGTGACACAGACGTGTCTCTGATTGGACATGTGCTGGGCACCGGGCGGGGCTAACACGATGCTGGCTGATGTCGGATTTTCTTTCCCCAGCGAGGAGGTGGATTTTTTAATTTCCAAGTTTTGGCAGCATGAAGTGTCTGCAATTTAAGAAGATAGTAGCGGTAGATATCTTAGCTTCCGCCGTGTTGGGCGCATTTACTAGAAAGAACTTCATTGATGGAGTTATGACGGATCTTGTGCGAATAGCAGAGGATGAAAGTGTCAAAGTCGACCATGACGTTTCGAAGTTGGGATACTACGTTGTGGTTGAGTCGCCTGGGAGTGACCTGGGACGGTATGCGAGAGCGCTTGCCAGTGCCAGGAGAAGCGATGCCTCGGACGGCGACCACAAGCGGATTGAAGAGAGTACCGATGAGACTGGGTGGTCCCCTGCCTCAAGCTTTTACGACCCGTGCTCGTATGAATCTGGTTCTATTCAGATGAGTGATGAGCTTCGTAAATTTTTTGCAAGCATGCGCGATGTAATAGCTCATGGTTACGGATTATTGGATGATGGAGTTACCGCAGACGAGAAGGACAGGTTCTTATTGTCTGTGCTGGGTCTGTTCAATTCGGAATACCTATCGTCGGCACAAATTTCGCGTGACGAGTTGTCGTTCTCGGAGTTCTTGTCCTTCTCTAAAAAGTATCTACTCCGTATGACGGCATCGGACAAAACTCCGGTTCCTCACTCCAGACGAGAAGCGCCTGCAGCACGAGCCCAGTCGCCCCCGAGTCTTCAGATGCCTGCGCCACAACCGAGGACGACCGGCACCGTGTCGCCGCTGCGCACGGAGACCAGTGACCGAGCGGGCACGGTCGACCAGACGGTACTGGGCTGCGAGCCAGTCGTCGTCTGCCAACCGAAGACCAGCGACCGACCGGGCACGATCCGGCAGGACTGTGACCCAGTTGATGTCGGAGCGCCACACTCGAAGTGGCGCCTCTGCTGCTTCTAACGACTCTACTGGCACGCGCTGCGTTTGTTTTACTATGCATTCTACTAACTTGTATTGCCTCGTACCAAGCCAGACACGAGTCTCAACAATCCCTTCCCTCCTCTTCCTTCCCGAATGCTTTCTTCAAGTATTTTCTTCAAGTACTTACTATGAGTGTTTCTTTAACTCGGAAAAATGGCCTCCCGGCGGGTTTCTCTAACTTACCCCACTTGTTTGTGTACAAGTACTTCCTTCAAGTACCTACTAAAAACTGGAGGTCTGGCTTCCCGCCATGGTGCGTATCTCTAGCCTGCGGGGGACACCCAGTAAGACGACCGTCTACCCAGTAAGACGACCGACCGTCTACCCTGTAAGACGACCGACCGTCTACCCAAACCCTGACCAAGGCCGTTAGGACCAGACAACCCGTAGCGACAGGAACGACCAACCAGGGCAGGCTTCGAGCAGTAGTTGTTGTTGTTTCAGCGTTTGCCTGTTTGGAATAACACGACTTGGCGGAGGGCTTCGAACGGGGTGGCAGCCTAACATAAAAGCAGTCACGAACAGGCCGTCTCCATCCGCAGGCGCTCAAGAAAGTGTGAGTTTGCAACATCGGACGGATTCTCACTTACACCTTCCCTTCCCACGTGTCCTCCCTGTTGATGCGTACAGCGATTCAGTTATAATGGTGGCATGCTTTGTTGCCGGTAACACTCGCAGCTGTCAACACGTTGGTTGCGACGTGCTGGAGAGGGCGTGAAAGATTTTATGTGTGGTTGCAAAAGTTCTGCTTGCTCTGTCTGTGCAAGGGGTCGTATTGTCTGAGCTGTGTCGTGCATCTGGTGGCGCTGGAGTGGAGCGCTTACAGGACATATGTCGTGGGAAATAGCAGCCACCGAGGACTTACGTCGGGTGTCGACGGGATGACTTCATTCGCACACGTCGCGAGAACCATTATTTTATTTTTGGAGGAGGAGAACCTGACTCGACATTAGTTCTCTTTCACTTCAATAAAATTTTGATTCCAAATACATTCATTGTTCATTCGCGCTAACGAGTAACCCAGCAAGTAATCACGCTACTCACAGCCAAATTATGGTGGACGATTTGGGGAATCGTGACCATTCCAAGCTGACCGATCAGGTACTTCTTCAATGTCTCCGAGTATGACCTCCACTGACAGCGAAGATGATCATGTCTTCTCCGAAGACGAGAACAGCTTCTTGACTTCTGCCATATCAAGGATTTGTCGACAGGTACGCTATCCTTTCAGCCGTGTGGTTAATGTTGTCTGTCAACGACTACAGACGCAAGACTGTGGCACCGATACTATGAAGGTTGTAGACTACTTTCTTCCGTTGAAAGCCAGATTCGAGGAGTTGTGCCGTCGTTGGGATCAGAAGTCAAGGTGCCGTGCGTTGGATTACAGCTATTGTTTGTTGCGGAAGATCGACAGGGAGATTGAGATAAGGATTCGGTGGGATGTAAGCTCTGCAGGCTTTTGCGAACATGTATAATGACAAGCATGAAAAGGAAAATTGGTACTACCAAAATGCTAGGCAGCGCCAATATCGGGAAAGGGGCCATCCGGGCGGCCCTCTCACCCGAAGACGGTCTGGACCAACCCTATGGTTAGCCGCACTTATGAATGTTCGTTGTCGCTAATTCAAGGAGTGAAACGATAGAATTGTAGACATGTGCGGTTACCGATGTCTGGAAGGCTTGTGTCCTTCGTGGTGCACACGGGGCCGGGAAATCCACGTATTCCCGGATGTCATACTCATACTCAAGACCGTGGATGTTCAAAGCCAGTCAACGGTCACGGAACTGGATACGCCGCTACAAGTCAAGGGTATTGGAGGAACTTCAAGATGTACCTCTCAGTTTCCATACTCACCTCTCTTGGTGGTAAGTTGGTAGAGTTGAATTTCTACGGTAGCCTGTTTCTGCCATGGCGTATCCATTGCTGGGACTTCCAGCTTTACAGCAACTTGATGCATCCGTTAATCTGAAGGATGACAAGTTGGCTTCGTTTTTTGGGGAACTCCCTTTAATTCAAGATCCGAACTTCGCCAGTTATGACTCAGGTCTCAATCACGGCAGATGTTGTCAGAATCTTTCAACATTATGACGAACTTGGCGAACGACCCAGTTGGGGAGATGCCGCTTTCTCGAGCACGCAATAGATACTAGTGGCAGCCCGCCGGTCAAGCAGGGTATGCGGAGATACTCTCCGGAACAGAGAGTCGGGATTGGCCACCGAGTCCTACTAATCCGTGGCGATCACAAATCGTGATGGTGTCTAAAAAAACGGGGCAGTGGAGAATGTGCGTCGATTATCGGGCTTCAAATGGAGTCCCTCTATAGGTAGAAAGGTGCACACCTTCCCTCCACCCGCGGTCAAGGATCTACATGATCAACTGGAGGCGTCGAACATGTAATAAATTTGGACCTAAAAGCTGGTTTTCGCCAGATTCGTCTAATAGAAGAAGATAAGTCGGATTAATCAATGCACCAGCAACATTTCAGAGAATGACGAGGAAGTCGCTGGAAGGAACGGGTGCTTGGCTTATGTTGATGGTGTTGGTGATATATGGAAGTTCGTGGCCTGCCTAAATGAGCAACTTCGAATGGGTTCTCAAGAGACTGTCGGATGGCTGCGAAATTGAGCGACTCCCCCCCCCCCCCCAAAAAGACCCCTCGCGAACTCCGACAATCGTCACATCCACAGGCCGTTGCGAATGCTCGCCGTCGTCATATTTGGTACCCGTCGACCAGTTCTTGGTCGTCTCGGTTGCCTTCTGTACGCTGTTGGTTCGTTTCTGTTGTCGGGGAGTAAATCCCTTCCGGTTACCGGTGTTCAACGAGCGTATAGAGGACTGTCCGAAGATACGTTGGCACAAGCCCCGGTTCGTTGGCGCTGATGCAAGAGAGCGAGTGACTCATAACTGCCAGTCACTGTACCCGTATACGGACGATAATGGCCGGTTTCCGAAGATGCAAGCTATGGGGCCGGTTGTGGCCTGGGCTGCAGGACAAAAGAATCTGGCGAAGATGGACTTATCGAAAGCGTTTCACGCGATCCCTGTCGCCGAAGATCAAATGAACTATGCCATTCTCGACTCGCGAGGACAAGCTTACCGCTACCGCAGAATGCCTATGGGCGCAATGTGCGCACCCAAACACTTTTCTATGGTGATGGGGAAGGTGCTGGGCGAGTTGAGCGACTACGACAAAGTTCATGTGCGATCGTATCAGGATGATGTAGTTGTCATAAGCGTAACAGAATGGGATGTGTGTGAGATATGGCAGGTCGGTACAGCTTTAAAATTTACTATAAGAAGTCGTCGACAGCCGACGACTGGCACAGGTTTACACCCGACAGAATAAGCATACCCAACGATAAAGCGACTGAAATACGAGAAAGACTGAGCGCGTCGTTGACGTAGTCCAGACTACAACTAACATACTATAAAATGATCCAATCCCGCTCCGCAGAATTCGTGCACTTGTGGGGGGCTTTCGGTTGGGGCTGGGTCGCTGGTCTGGAAGCTCCCAGGAATCTGTTGAGCGACAGTGCATTTCGCGCGTGAGAGTTTAGAGAGCGCTGTCAAGGACCGCTAGAGCATTCGTGTCGGCAACAGACTGGAGTTTCGAGGAGGTGGTTGCCTCTGCCACGCTAGCTTATCGTTCTACGCCGCACCCCATCACTGGCGAGTCGCCGTACCGAATCGTCGCCGGTGCAGACGTGGTATTACCTCACTTCCAAGAATGGCACAGATTCGAGACCTTCATAACGGATGTGCTTCCACGTTTCAGGCTGTTTGACACGTTCCGGCAGGATGCCCTCAACCACACTTTGTCTTCAGCCAGCGAAGGACGGCCTTCTGTGAAGAAGGAGATACGTCGGAGATACGGTGGTGCTTCTGTGCGGGAAGATGCTATCCACCGTTCAGCAACGCTTCGGGGTCAGTGAGTTCCTTCCCACGTCACCTCAGTGTGGCACAAGGACTTAATATATGAAGCTCCCCCCCCTTAGGTCATGAAGATAGGACGGGTTCCAGTGGATCTTCGAGCACTCACCATAAGGCACTGGCCGTGACAGGCACATACCACAAGATACCGATGCACTACGACGTGCCAATCCTCACGAATGTAGGCCGAGTATTCTATGTGGAGGTCAGGCCGAACAGAGACCTGTCATTCGACCGTTCACTGACTGGAGGAAATCCTCCGTCGACCGACACGCGATGGACAGCGTCAGTATTTCGAGGTTCCAATTTACTCTCGTCCCCAAGGAGTCTTGGAGAGGCCGGCGGATGTGGACGTGACGACTCCATTCGCACACGTCGCGCCAGCTATTAATTTAATTTTTACATGGAGCAGAACCGGATTTAGCATTTGTACTCATGAGTCACCCAGTGAGTAACCTCGATACCAACAATCAAGCCGGCACAGATACATGGGCCTATGGCGCAATGGCAGCGCGTCTGACTCCAGATCAGAAGGTTGGGCGTTCGACTCGCTCTGGGCTCATTTTCCCGAGTAAAATTCAGGGATTGTTGTTCTTGTTCCAAGAAAAGGATTTTTATTGCGATGGCGTGACTTAATATAGTATCTGATGGTGTGTGTGGGCATAGGTCACAAGTTGTATACCCATCTCTCATTTATACGCACAAACACATGGCGACAGCTACTGGGTGCTTGGCCAAGATGGATAAGCTCCTGCAACTTCTGCAACGCTCGGTTGTTCAGGTACTCAGGTCATCCAGTCCTTCGAGGAATGCTACACGCGCCCTCAGGGAGCAGCTAGAAAACTAGCGAACCTCGCAAAAGCGTCTGTCTGACATCGACGGGTCAATTCGTGGGAATTGGCGATGCGCGCTACATGGCCGAGTTATACAGACGGGGCACGCAAGGATCGAGACTGGAGCGGATGCTGACCTAGTTTGGTAAGATGTTGTGAAGAAAATTATACCCCCGATGAACCCTCCGCGTCTAGTCGCTGCTAATGGCAGTCATTGACGGCTTCTCCACGCTACAAGCGACCCTATACAATGGAACGGTTCCTGGCGTGGGCAACGCCACACCTTCGGTGCAACTTCTGTTTGGCGTGAACAACTGGGAAGCTGGAAGCCCACGCCCACGTTCCCGGACATTCTTACACAAGAACAAACAACACTACTGACAGTCACCACAACAGCACTCCCAGCAGCACATGTGCCAAGAAAAGCTCGCAGCAGGAATTATTAGACCATCTCCTTGGGCATTTCGTCCTGGACTCGTTTGCACCCCGGACAAACTAATAAGGACATGCGGTAACTACATCCCTTTAAACAACTCATCCACTCAAGGGCCATGCCGAATATTGATAACACCCGCGCATGGACATTTCATCCCGTCGGATTTGGCTTAGGACCAGGATCGAGCTCAGAACAGGTCGTGCGCGCAAACCTAGTAAAAAATACGTGATGTCTGCTCTGGATTGCGCTTCAAAATTTTGGTTAGTCAACATCATTTCAGGGATAGACTCTGGTACGTTATCAGCGCTGGTTCACGTATTACTCTATTCTAAAGCGCATCCGTTTACCCTACCGTAACACACGAGACCTCTGGACGCAAGTTCTACGATGTGGTTGTATCGCAGTATGAAGATATTTCCCGCGTACCAGAGAGGGGCATAATATAGTTTCTGATAGCGTGTGTCATACTGATTTACGTCACAACTTGTGTGCTACTATTCCGTCGGTAACACCTCTCTCACCTAGACCTCAAATATCGTGACTTACAACGGAGTAGACGCCGATCCGTGGTGTAACAGACTTGTTCGTCACGAGTGGGGGGTGTAAAGATAGACCTGAAGGTGTTAGACAGTGATATACACACGAAGCGACAACATGCTGGGGCGAGAGTAGCACAGTCAGCACGATAGTAGCACGCTGGCGAGCTAGCGTGGGCGAACTAGAGTGGCGCGTGGCCGCAAATAAGGGCGGGAATGGTTTCTGAAGACCCATGTGCAGGCCCAGTTAACCTTGCTCCCAGTAAACGGTTTCTCAGCGAACGAATTTTATTTACATAGCCTCGCAGCGCTGTGGATTCCTGGTTGTCTCTCTAAGTCTGCTGTATATCAAACCTGAGTTGAACATCATTCCGTCTGTTGCAAGTCCGTTGAGAGTTAGTCAAGTTAGTTATCCACCAAGTTGTCTGTAAAGCAAGTTACGCATGAAGTCGTGCTATCCCTACAGTTCCGGAAGCGCGTTGGACCCGTGGTGTGCCGCTCTCATTGAATTAGTTAATGGCCGGCTGCAAGTCCCCGTGACACCGAGTCCACAGTACAGTCACAAAATAATTGTTGCGTTCGGAACGGAAAAGCAAATTAAGCAGGGGACCGCAACACCCCTCGCTGTGCATATCAAACGACCAGCCAGTACCCCGGAACCCGTCTGCGGTGTTTCGTACTACGGGGAGAAGAATGATCCGGCGGAGGCGCGTTTCGATTTTTACCAGCATCCAATCGCACTTACAGTGATCCGCAATTTCGAACAAGCCCAGCTTTCAGCACAAGACGCTCAGGGCGACCCTGTAGCTGACGCCGCCGCTACAGAGAAACCAGACTCTTCCGCTGTGAGACTGTTTGTTGAACACGTGTGGAAATCCGCGGTGCACACCTTCGACGTCTCCGTCTTGGTGGACGAGTTGCCGGCGTTGGAACAGTTGGCGTGCAGCATCGCCGGGAGCGAGGAGGTGCGGCAGCTTGTGCCGCTGTGGCTGGATGACGTGCTCAAGGAGCGAATGGGCCAGGCGGCCGGGAGTGCGCCACGAAACGCAACATGTTCGAACGCGGGGCCAGAGAAAGAACTGAACGCCGGGTCGGAAGAGAGGTCGAACGACGGGTCGGAGGAGAAGTCGAACGCCGGGGCGGAAGCGGATCATCCGACGGAAGCGGATCATCCGACGGAACCGGGTCCAGCAGAGGTGTGGAAGAGGTTGGTGGTTCAGATCCAGGCGGTGCCTCTCAGTGAGTTTTGCGTGGAGTGCCTGACGGCGTCGGACGAGGAGTTGCAGACTGGGCAGGAGCAGTTCGGCAGCCAGGACGCAGACGCAGACAGAAGCGAGGAGAACGATTATTGCTGCGAACGCTGCCCGTCGGTACAACTCTTCAGCGCCGACAGTCGCCGCCGAGTACGGAGACTCACGCGCCACCTCCGCACACGCGTGCGACAAACGCTGGCTCCGCCCCCCGGCGTCGGTCGCTGGTTCTCCGCCGTCCCGTCGCGCATGCAGCCCTGGCTCGACCGGGTCCTCGCCCGCCGGTCCTCGACAGACTTCGAAGAAGCCGTCTCGCTCAAAGACCTCAGCTCGCCCAGGGAACCCGCAGCGGGCGACTCGCTCGAAGGGGGTGACGGCTCGCTTGGGGAAGGTGACTCGCTCAGGGAAGCCGCAGAGGGCGACTCGCTCGAAGAGGGTGACGGCTCGCCCAGAGAAGGCGGATGTCTCCGCCGCCTCCGCGTGAGCCGCCTGCGCGAGAGTGAATGGCTCCAGCGTGTGCGCGAAAGTGAATGGTTCGAGGGCGTGCGCGCGGACATGCGTGAGGACGTGCATGAATTGCTTGACCGTTTGCGCTCGTTGCCGCACACGTGTCTGAAGCAGACACGACGCTTGCTGCGGTGGATGCGGGCGAACCCGACGTTGGCGGTGGCAAGCGTGTGCGTCGGGATGGTGGTGCCGGTGCTGTTCTGGGTGCACCTTTACCAGTTCACACACGCCGAGCCAGCGCCGCGTCGTGTCTGTCTGCCCGGCTGCGCCGGCTGGGACTGTCTTTGCATGCCAACGCGAACACCAGCACTCGTTTGCGAAGGTGCCCATTATGCCGTGTACGACGTCTTCCGACCAACCGCCACCGATCTCCGCCCCATCATGTCCGCTTTCGCCGAGACCATCCCTCAGTTCAGCACCAAAGACTGCAGGTGCTATTGCAGAGGCACAACCAGGGACGACGACTACTAGATGGGCGAGCTGGGGTGGAGGTCGGCTGGTCGAGGTCAGAGAAGAAGGCGCACTGAGGCAAACGCCGACCAGACGCGTCCGTGCAATGGCTAGCTGCTACGGTAAAACACTTTGGGGCCACTTGCCGACCACGCAAGTTTTTGGCCGGGAAATATGCCGTCTCGAAAGCATGGTCGGCCGGGGCATTTAGAAAAACAGGTGTCGTGGATGTTTCATGTCGGTCTGTGGTCGGCTGGAGGGGCCGGATATAGCACTGGAGGTCCGTCAGCGGCGCGTAAGAGTGTCAAGACTCCTGTCAAGACGCTGCCAGCCAGGCCGTTGCCGAGGGTAATGTATAACTACGAGGAGACTCCGGAGAAATTTCGGGAAAGGTATAATTCATACAGGACCTACGGGAGAAGCCTCGGGTGGACTGTCTTTTCGGCCGTGGCAGGCGGCTCCATCATGCTCACGCACCAGGTGCTGAAACTCAACACCATGGTGTGGGCAGCCGTCGTGGCAGCGGGCTGTCTGGCTGCCGTCATCAGTCACAGAATGGCAAACGTTTAATGCATGCGCGCACCCGTAACGAATGCCTAGCCACGTGCATGCGGCGCAAGCGGCGCGAGCCCTGGGACAAAACGAGCGGCAAATATTTTTGGGTGTAAGAACCGTGAAATTTGGTGTGTCGAAGGTGTGTGTGTGTTTGCAAGAGGCACACGCTCAGTGGAAACGCAGGGGTAAAGAGTTGTGCTTGGAAAGATGTGTGTTCGTGCGGAGGGAGGTACACACAAGGGGTCATGAGAAACACTCGCGCGCCCGCGCACGCGGGTGTATCCCACACACAGGTGCAATCAGGCAACCAGCGCGCGTCTCGCTGGCTGCAATAACATGCCTGTTAGAAAAACGGAACGGCCAATTAAGAAAGCACAAATTCGATTGTGCCTTCTCAGTCAGCCGTCCTACAACACGATTCACAGGACACCCAACAACACAGTGTTGGGCAAGCTGTCGGGTGAGGGCAAGCAACCTGGTGGTATCTATGACTCACTCGATCAGGGGGAGCATTTTTTTCCCCGGGAACGCTCCATGCCTGTACTGCGGGGGATGTGACCCGTTGTCAAAGGCTAAACCGGAGGACAGGGTGTGAACTTTGGAGGCGAATGTTCAAGCTCGAAAAGCAGCAGGCATACCGGATATTTGGTCAAAGGAGAAGAGACGACGACGGGCTGGAGGGGTGGCCAGGGAGGGTGGGAGTCAGCAAGTTGGTGAGTACGGTGAGTGCTCGGTGCACGGGGTTCAGTATTGAGAGGTCTACCGTCGGAAGCTTCAGTGTCGGGGGGTCCTGTACCGAGTTGGGCATAGGATGGCCGGTGGCTGCGAAGTTCTGGAGGCAGGACTTGATTTTGATCCACATGTCTTTGTCGATTTTGTTGTTGGCAGGAATTGATTCGTCGAATTGTTGTTGCCACAACTTCTCGCCTGCGATGATGACCCACACGGCCATGGCGGCCACATGGGGACGCGCGTCCGCGTAGCGGGGGTTCAGGAGGTCGACAGCTGCCCATCGGGCGTAGCACGAAAAATTCGTCAAGTCTTCTTGAGTGAGTCGAGCGACGAAGGCGCTCACGTTGGTCCAGGCGTGCACTTCCGGGAGCGTAACGGGCCTCGTACAGTCGGGGCCGTCGTTCCAGCTCTCTCGGGCAGACGCTCCCAGCAAGGACAACTGGCTCCAGAGTTTCCCGGAGGCGAAAATCCAGTCTTCCCGCAAAGCGCGGAGAGCGTCCTCAGACAAATGGGCCGGAAGCGCTGGGTCTGGGCGTGCCTTCAAGGCGCGAACCAACCCCACCAGCCGGCCCGCCGCAGTCTGATCATCCCAGGGGGTGCGTTTAGCGGTGTGTAGCACGCTGTACCAAAGCTCCCACAAAAGGCCCTCCGTGGACGACACACTCGGTGAGTCGCCACTGGAGTACGAGGTGTCCACAGGTCCCGCCAGGGTTTCCACCTCCGTCTCCAGATCCAAGTCGGCCTTCATGTAACGCAAGATGCTCTGGTAGGCACTGCCCGAGTAGTCCGGCCGGAACCATTTGCGAGCCTCCGCTATTGCGTCAATTTGATCTGCCTCGGCCGACACAGTGTCCAGGGTCTCCGCTGTCTTCGGCTCTGTTCGATTTTCCATCAACAAAAAACCCTGGCTGCCAACCTGTGGCGGCAAACCCGTGCACCCAATGCTCGCGTGGCATCGTCTGTCGGATGGCGTCTGTCCCGTCTGGCATTTGGAACATAGGACGTCCTCCAAGTCCAAACTCAAACTTGGGGGTCATTTCTGAGAAAGTTCGCGGAGAACAAAGTATACATTGAATGACAGTGATATTAGCAATGACACGGAGACCGTGAACCAAAATAGGCCTCCTACAAGAAATCAAGCTGGGAGAAGGGGAGAGCAGGTAGGGAGGTGGTTTGGTACTTTTTTTTATTTGGGGAACGAGCGCCGCCTTTCCCTTGCGAATGTCGTATGTGGTTCTTGCGGGATTGGTGAAGTGCTTAGGCGTAGCGGTACTGAGAGCCTGGAACGTATAAAAGTCACAGCATGCTTGGATCATGGCATGTCTGATGAAGGTGTTGGTAGTGATCCATTCTGTTTCAACGCATGACTTGATGATACTTTTTAGAATGCTTTTCTTAACCCAGATAATTTCCATTTCCGAGTCCAGTTGTGTTTCGCTCGCTGAAAGTTTAGTAAATACAAGACGGACATGGAGTTTTAGACAATCACTAAACGGCATTTTCCTGGTCGTAACAATGCTGTCTCTTAGGAACTGTTGTTTGGAAGTGTTGATCTTGAACGTGATGTCCTCTGTAACAAAGGCATAATCTGGTAGCCGCAATACAGGAAAGTTGTTTTCAATTTTGTTCATGCCTGAAATAGACCTTGTGAATTCATAGCTTTCACTAGAAGGTAAGGAAGCCCACGGTTCGGCAGTGCAGTTATGGACTCCGCCGTTGGTAACCACGATATCTTTGCCGTTGGCGATTGTATGATGGATGTGATCATAAGTTTCTTCGACGACGCACTTTTGATACATCCGCTCGATAGGAACGGTAAAGATGCCCATGGGCAGGGAGTAATCGAGTTTTGGTTTTTGAATTTGGGCGTAGCCGACTGTCAACACGTGGCACACTTCACTAGGAACAGGGACTTGCACTTTGCTTGTCTTGCTCCCGTCCCCACTAACAAGGTTGTTTCCTGGCCGTGGTATGGACGGCAGCTTGGAGCGCGTTCGCGCAGTCAAAACCGACTCGTCTCCACGCCCGAACTGGTAGTGGGTCATCCGCATTAACAATGCCCACGCCTTCTCCCGGTTTACGTACGACGTGAAGAAGTAAGACGTGCCGTCCCTCAACTCGATCTCAATCGAATTATTAAACACAAGTGCGTTCGACCGTTTCGTAATATTCACAATCTCATGATACTCAAACAACACTAAGGTCGGAATCAAAGAGATGAACGTGCTATCATTAAACACTGAATAAAAGCCCACCGCCGTCGTCGAAATGTACATCTTCCCCTGTAACAATATCTTGCCAGATAACGCACAATTGTACTGACCCAATAATCGACACTCATTACTAAAGTAATTAAACTTCCACTGAAACTCTTCCTCCTCCGTTGATGGACGATTCTTTCCGTGCGTCGACACCGTCGTACTTGAACGCTCCAACTCTGGAAGCTGCAACCGCTGCACCACAGAACCACCTCCAGAAGGCGAGAACGAAGAACACTGGTGCGCATCCATCATCTAACAAGAAAACTGTAAAACCTCTAACCAAGCCTGCAATCTAGACTAAACATTTAGTTTCAGTTTTACCTTATCTGCTTGCTTCACCTTTGGCCTCAGCGGCTGTCGAAAAAACTACGTTGGGTGAAGCCACTGGGGGATCAGTGCCGTGCGGCCTGGTTGCTTTTGCCCGGCTCTCTCTTGCATGACCCCTTGCAAGAGCAATAACGCCTGTCGCGAGGTCGTCTAACTGCTGACTGTATGCGCTAAACCGGCGCTAACGCTAAACCGGCGCTAATTACGACCGAATCATGTACGTATCGGATTATATACGTATCGGATTATATACGTACCGGATTATGTACCTGCCGACACTATATTGAGTCATATTAGAATACTCGCCTCAGTAACAACCCCACGGAGAGAACGCCCCATGTGTACAAGGGATTGGCTTGATACGGGATGCAACGTGAAACTGACAGGAAGGTTACGAAGACGGACATAGACAGGGAATGGTGCCATCCCACCAAAATAGCACCCCCAAGGTGTAGGAGGAATACAGCCAAGAGTCCTCCACTAGATTCAACGAGGCTGCGTCCCGAGCCATCACGTCACCCCCCGACTCGGATACTAAAGAATGGGACAAGCCTCTGGTCGTACAAATGAACGAGGATTTGGACATCCTCAGATCGAAGGCAGTGCTGGTCGGGAGCGCGTCCAATCACAAGACTTTGGCGAAGGCTGTGACGGTAAATCTAAGAGGGTGACCCAAGAAGACAACGGCGTCGAAGTTTTGGCGGCTCGGGGCGTATATGATTATTTCGGTGAAGGCGGTTCCGGATTATCTCAGGAATCGGATATCGATGAAGTGGAAATTTTCTGGCGGACGTGCAGGAAAGCTGCATGATGATTATCGATGACTGATGATTTGCGGCACACTCCTCGGGAACGCAAGCAAGTGCAACAACAAATGCTCCGCGAGCGAGTCCTACCTCAGAAACCGACCGTTAGAGGAATACCCACCGACCGATCTACAAACAGGAGATGTCGTCGTCGTGTTCGTCGACCCAGGCTCCGCAGCATCCTCAGTACTCGCAGAACCTCGAGGACGAGACAGCAGCACAAAGACCCGGAATCACCACGTATAGGTCGACCCCGAAACGCGCGAAGGTCTGGAACACTTCCTGGGCGTAGCTCTAAATTTCTTCTGGGGTAGGAGGGGCGGGAGCCGTCCAGGGACATAACGACCTCTAACGAAATCTTCGTACATATCTTTGCCACAACTCATTCCCACGACCAATACCCACAAATGGAAGGACAACTGCCGGACATCACGGCCACTAACAGCACCGTGATGCCGAACCCAGGGACAAGGGCAACAGCGATGCCCCGACCCCCCAACCCACCACGGACAACTCAATTACCAAAGGCGACCGACGGACGGTCGTAAACCCAGACGAGTCAACGCACTCTCACGGCCCCCATCCTCTCTGGGTACTCCCTCGTCAACGCTTCTAGCTCGGGATCCTCGCTTTTCTTAAACTTTCGGACTTTTTCCTTGTGTACCTTGAAGGTTGAGCCTGGCTGTCCGTATCGCTCTACCTCTACCTGTGTCCGCTCGACCCCCACGATCTTCATCGGGAGTGACCAACGTGGCGCGAACCATCTGGGCGTCTCTGGGCCATTGAGCGACGGGCTGCGGAGCCTGGATCATTAAGAACTACCACTAGGTCTCCTTGTTTGAGGTCGTTTGGACTATCTTTTTCCAGGGGGCGCTCCCTGAGCATTACCTCCGTCATTCGCTCTCGGAGCCGCATGTTGTGATTCTCTCTGCGCGGCGGGCGATGTCATCTCTTGCAGGGCGTCGAGCACTGGGGGTTTACCGAACAACGCCTCGTACGGTGAGGTACCTATCGCTGAGTGCGGGGTGATGTTGTGGAGGCGGGTGGCTGAGTCCAGCATTTTCCCAACATCTCTTTGCCCTTCTTGCCACATTGCGTGCAGCACATTCTTTAGCTCGACGTGCGAGGCCCCATTGATGCCGTTCCCCTGGGGACGGTACGGGGCGGTTACTAGATGTCGGCAACCTAGATGTTTGGTCACCGTCGTGTGAAATGCGCCCTTGAAGCTGGAGCCGCCGTCGGTGAGCACTGCTCTCGGCGT